GCGCGTCAGGGTATGAGGTGGTTGGGTAAATATAACACGTTTCAACCATCCCGATCGGTAGATTTAGTCTGACTGCTTGATTTCCCATAATCACCTAGTACAATATATCTCACTTGATTGTTCCTCCATACGCGAGGAAGATACTTATGATCAAACACTTATATCCTATATAAGGCTTCTACATTTATAAACCGTGTTTCTCACGGTTAAGGTGTACGTGTATTTTTGGACTTACAAATTGCAAATCATAACTCCACCTGTAGCTCTTCTAGAGCTAATGCCAGTCCAAAGCCCACAACAAGGAGAAGGGTTGTGCGTGGGGTCTGCAACCACATCCCGTAGAAAACAATCTTGCTAAAAAACGCCGATCAGATTAAACAAGTTGAACCATTAAAGCTCTGCCCTCCGAGTTGAAGGGAGAATTATAATGCCTCAGGATGAAAGCCAAGATTCTTCGGAGGTCACGAAGCCGATGTCCCTTCTAACAAACAGGGCAACAATTTTTATAGGTATACGGAACGTCCGGACAATGTGGGGACCGGGCGGACCAACCAAATAGCTGTGGAAATGAGGAGGCACAACTTGGCGATGCCCAGAATAAGTGAAGCACATTTGACCCAAGCTGAACAGATAAGCCTAGATACGGGAGAGATGCTGCTGCACTCCGGTCACGAAGAGGTAATAGCTCCACACACTCAAGGAGTTGCTCTGATGTTGTGCAAAGAAGCAAGAAATCCACCTGTACGATGGGAATCTCATGAATCCAGGATCACCAGAGCATCCTTCAAAAAAGGAATGGGATCACTATGAGTGAAATCCAGTGTTGTGCACACACCAAAGAAAACAACGACAACAATAAAGATCAGTTCTATGAGAGGCTACAATCAATCATAGCTAAGTGCCCAGGAAGAGACCTGACCATCCTAATGGGAAACCTAAACGCCAAAATCGGAATGGACAACACTGGATATAAAGATATCACGGGATGACATGGACTGTGGGAAAGCAACAAAAATGGTGAGACATTTGCAAATTTATGTGAATTTCAAAATCGTTATAGGCGGCACAATATTACGAAACAAACACATACACACAGCTACATGATCCACACCGGATCACGCCACGGAGAACCAGATCGATCATATTTGCTTCACTCAAAAATTCAGAGGGACAATGGAACACGTGGGAACCAGGAGAGGAGCTGACGCAGCTTCAGATCACCACCTAGTTGTGGCCAAGATGAAACCGAAACTAAAGAAACCCTGGACAGCTGGAGAAACAGCAGTACAGAAGTTCAATACAACCTTCCTTTGACATACTGACAAACTCAACAAATTCAAGATCATTCTCAACAATTGGTTCCAAGCCCTACAAGATCTACTCAAATAATGAGAAGAAACTACTGTGGAGAACAGCTGCGAAGGGATCAAAGAAGCATTGACTTCAACGTGTCAGGAGGTTGTGAGCCGAAAGAAGCATCATCATAAGTAATGGATCTTTATGGAAACCCTAGACAAGATTCAGGTAAGGAAGAACAAAAAGACTGCAATAAACGACAGCCGAATAAGAGCAGAGAAAGTCAAGGCACAAGCTGAATGCACAAGAGCAAACAAGCAAGTGAAGAGGAGCATTAAGGCCGACAAGCGTAAATATGTGGGAGACCTAACAACGACAGCGGAAAAAGCTGCAAGAGAAGGGAATATGACACGGCCATATGACACAACGAAGAAACTAGCAGGGAAATTTAGTAAACCAGAGAGATCAGTCAAGGACAAAGAAGAAAAACAAATCACCGAGATTCAAGAACAGACGGGTGGAATACTTCGAGGAACTCTTGAATAGACCAGCTCCACTGAACCCTCCGGACATGGAAGCAGCATACACAGACATTCCCATAGATGTCACTCCACCAATGACGGAAGAAATCAGCATGGCCATCAGACAAATCAAAGAGTGAGAAAGCAGTAGGACCTAACAACATACCGACTGAAGCAATGAATTCAGACATGCAAGTAACTGCAAGCATGCTCCACGTTCTATTTAGAAAGATTTGGGAGGACGAACATGTACCGATAGACTGGAGGGAAGGACACCTCATCATAATACCAAAGAAAGGAGATCTGAGCAAATGTTAAGACTATAGAGGTATCACACTACCATCTGTACCAGGAAAAGTTTTTAACAGAGTATTGCTCAGCCGGGTGAAAGATTCAGTAGACGACCAGTGTCAGGATCAACAGGTCGGATTCCGTAAGGATCGACCGTGAACAGACCAAATCGCGACACCATGGATCATCGTTGAACAGTCATTGGCTATGAGAAACAATTTGACAGCGTGGATAGGAGGACTTTGTGGAAACTTCTTCGACACTATGGTGTACCTGAGAAGATCGTCAACATCATCCAAAATTCATACGACAGACCACAGTGCAAAGTTGTGCATGGTGGACAGCTGAAAGACGCATTCCAATAGAGGACCTGTGTCAGACAAGGCTGCTTACTCTCTCTTCCTCTTTCTTCTGGTGGTCGATTGGATTATGAAGACCTCGACATCTGAGGGAAAGCATGTAATACAATGGACAGCTCAGAATCACCTAGAAGATCTGGACTTAGTAGATGACCTGGCCCTTCTATCCCATACACACCAACAAATTCAGATAAAGACAACTAGTGTAACAGCAGCCTCTGCATCAGTAGGCCTCAGCATACACAAGGGAAAAACCAAGATCATCAAATACAGCACGGAAAACACCAACACAATCACACTTGATGGAAAAGATCTAGAAGATGTGGAATCTTTCACGTACCTGAGAATCACCGTCCATGTACAAGGAGGATCGGATGAAGACGTAAAGGCGAGAATTGGCGAATCAAGAACAGCATTCCTACAGTTGAAGAAAATATGGAACTCAAAACAACTGCCAACCAATATCGAAGCCAGAATCTTCAATACGTATATCAAGACAGTTCTACTGAACGGAGTTGAAATTCGGAGAACTATTACATCTGTCATCGAAAAGGTACAAGTACTTATAAATAGTTGTTTGCGCAAGATACTCAATATTCGTTGGCCAGAAAGCATCAGCAACAGCCTACTGTGGGAGAGAACAAACCAGTCTCCACCTGAAAAAGAGATTTGGAAAAGATGTTGGAAGTGGATAGGACACATGTTGCGGAAAACATCAGATTGCATCACGAAGCAAGTGTGTAGTGGCATTGGACCATAGCCACCTAATCCACAAAGCTGTGAACACGAGACTACTCAGAAAATAGATATTCAATATTTAACGCGGAGAAATACCTGACAATGGAGAAGGCGCGAACAATGAATTGAATGGACTGGAGTTGATCGAGTGGCATGGATCGGCCATGCAGGCGTGGTATCTGCTGAATGTTACCTTATATCTTCTATTCATATTAAATATATTGTTCTTTCTCTAGCCTAACCTTGTTCTACATCATGTATTGGTAATTGATACGATACAGTGAGTTGGTGTAGTCGATGGTGTGACTTCCACGTAAGATCTTATAGATTAGGCAGTTATATCATGACAAATCTACAAATTTAAGATTAGGTCTATTATTAGAGCAGTACTAATATCATAGTAGACCATAGTTCTACACGTGCTCACTTGGAATTCCGAAAGGAAACGTGAAAGAGGAAGGCAAAAGAACATACTGCGCCGGAATTGGTAGCAGACATCAACAAAATGAACAGCGATAGGAAAGAATCGGAATGGATGGTCCAGAACAGAGTTGGATGGAAAGTGTTGGTTGGCGGCCTATGCTCCTCCTAGAGGGATAACGGACGTAGGTAGGCTTATTATTTAGTATTAGGCGACAGACTGTTTGGCAATTTACAATTTTAATTTTGAATTAATTTCTTGCTTCTATACTAAACAATGGCATTAGTAAGAAAGATAATCTACTTCTCAGTTATAGGAAGTTATCCAGATCTCTGTTCACAACACTGAAATTTCTTAACAATGAAAAGGATATTCCAGCCTGCAGTAATAAGGTTTCGGATACGATCAACGTTAATCATATCAGTAACATGTCAGCTAATAATTAATGACCTAAACTATATTCAAATCAATAAATGTGATTTTCATGACAATCAGCACTTACGTATATACTGCACAAATAGTTCACCACCACCGCCTTAATTTCATGGAAAAACAGAAACCGAGCTCTCACAAAATAATTTAAAAAATAAGATAGTAGTACAGATAAGCATACCTAAGTCAAGGGAAACATCAAGGATCGTAAAGAAAACAGGAACTGAAAGGTGCAGAACGAATAATGTAATATCAACAACCATGTCGTATAAGGATGATGCAAATGGTGTATATACTGACAGTAGTGCGTGACCTTGCCCAATAAACTCTAAGCAACTTAAGAAGCATAATCTAAGCTCTACAAAGATATGTGATGTACTATGAACCGCAAAACTATTTTATAGCTGTCATTGTGCCGTTCCTTTTAGTTCCTAAGTCACTACCAACCATGGCTTTTTTATCCTGAAGTCAGTAACCCAAAATGAAACATTCGGCTCATTATATGGTAATATTAGCCATGATTAAGACTTATTTGTACGGTAATACTTTGCTATGATTCACAACTGATTGATACACTCAAGCGGGTTATCTAGACCAATAAGTAGCAAAATTTGGGGCTAAATGATATTATGTGCATAGTCAATATCCTCTCAAAAGGAGTTTATTGAAACCGTTCAATTGAGACCTCTTTATTCAGAAGTCTGCTCTTCGGTTTATCAAATGTTCCTAGTCCATCACACTTTTTATTCCAGATTTAACTGTAGGAATACTAAAGACTTCTTAAGAAACAAGAAAACAAAGGGGATAAGGTTTTTTATCGATTTAAAAGGGTACGAAGCAGTTTTTATTGGGAGAAATGAATTCGCGATTCAGGTGAAGTACATTTGTTTATACACATCATTTCGCCTAGATTTCTTGAGGTGGCGATTGGACCTCCTGGGAATGGCGGTATCTTGCAATATTGGGGAGATGTATGTCTTGAATTCTCTTGAATAACACTTTCAGAGACGTTAGCAACAAAGAAAGTAGATTTCCATTTTGGTTAAGATGGAGTCGTACATCAAATGATCTTCTAAAATCCTCGGAGCAAAAACTGCTGTCACGTATTTATTCATTTACGATTTTAACCTGTTGACATATAGGAATAAAAAGCGGTGTAGAGGCTTTTTTCGTGCCTATTTTCAATGGCTCCTGCTACATCAGGACCTTTGTTTTCCGACGTCATAAATCGGACCAAATATCGCCTACAGGCAGAACCACAGATACAAACCAAGCCATTCCCATTGTATTGGTCCATGGATTTGGTTCTGGATCTGCTCTTTGGTGTAAAAACATTGATGCGTTCGCCTGCTATCGCCCTGTGTATTCACTTGATGTTCTCGGATTCGGACGAAGCTCTCGACCTCCTTTCCCAGTCGACGCCACTGCAGTAGAGGAAAAGTGGGTCGAGTCTATTGAGCAGTGGAGATCATCGTTAAACCTGGAGAAGTTTATTTTACTTGGCCATAGTTTGGGTGGTTTCCTAGCTTGTTCTTATGCACTTACTCACTCCAACAGGTAAGCTGTGACTATAAGTCATTTTACCAGACTTTTACTCAGTTTTCGATTTTCCCCTTTATTTAAATCAATAATAGGCCATGTGGTACCTTGTTTTTTGTTACTTTAATACCAAGAGTGTCTCAAATTTCCAGGATCTCATTATACTATGGGAACATTGCAAATGGTGCAACGGTAAATAAAAATGTAGGTGATAGTCCCAGCTTTTTCCCTGCTACGAATATCTATTCGTTGCATTTGTGTAATAAGTAATTTGAATCGTAACGTACAAACTCAGTCATTCCAGTTTGTTCGTGTGATTCCAATTATAAGCGGTGAGCAGAACCCCGAATAAGTATGCGATTGCAGAAATGAGTTTACTGTGTTTTCCTTAAAAACACGTGAGCTCGTACTTTTCGAGTAAGTCATTGTAGTGCAATGAATCATAACACCATGTGTTTTATTATTTATTTAAACACATAAATACTGGTACAAGAGGGCACCAGATACATATGCGCCACACAAATTTCATTTGATTTGTACGAGGGCTGTGATACTGCCCGGGTGCCCGAACCGAAGCAGGTGGTTTTCTTAGGGGACCACACCCGGAGCCTCCGACTTAAAGGTCTAATCCCCGAGGCAGTGGAGCATTGTGAGGAGATGCAGTCTCATGGTAGCCGGTGACACGATTGGTTCATACTCCATTTGTTCCCTTATGATACTGGAGCCCATGTGCACCATTGGTTTAGAATTAGGGTTTTCCAACTCCCTTAGGTGGATCCTCTATATCCGCCAACCCGACTAAAGCGTTAAATATTCGCTTTTCGTCCTCTCAGTTCCGTAAACAACACCCCCGTCACGAGAAGGCGGTGAGTAGGACTTCCCTGGCAGAGGCTTTATACGCGTGGCCATATGAGAGCATTTCAAGAAGGAGTGGACTCTCCGCACATTCTGGCCGTACCAGGGGCACACCATGTGTTTAACAAAACTTTGTTTATTGTTGTATCCTAGGTTGTCGGGGTCCCGTTTTTCAAAGATCCAGCCATCATGTATGACTTGCACATTTGATTATGTACAGCTGTTACCGTATATTAGGACTCGAATGTCAATCAGTTCGTCACAAGCATGAGACATCTAGGATTTCCAAATTTTAAACGGCCAGTTATACATCTATATTTCACGAGAACGTTTCTGTACACGGACTCGACGATCTTTCTTGGTTGTTTTCCCAAATGGTTTTGGTTCAGTTGTTAAATATGGAGAGCTTTCAGCTCCCACTTTCGTTTATTAAAGTACATTTGACCATTTTGGTCCTTGTATTTGTAGTCTACTGATTTCCATAGACTGGAGAATCGAACTCACAGGACCTAATTTGATCGTCGCATGGAAACTAAATTTATATAGTGAATCATTGCATCGTAGCTGTATTTAACTAGAACTCCAACCCCTCGAAGAATATAATTATCGTGAGAAAAAACCAGTATACTGAACTATCGGTTGAAGTCCCCAGTCTCCTCATAATCTTAAGAGGTTGCAGTTTTCTTTAAAATCATAACAATTTATGTCAAGTGTTAGTAAATCAAAGCAAATTCTTTGGGATTGTCTAAGAGTGGGTACACAAAGGCTATTTAAATTATTTTCCGCTTCTGCTATCAAACTTGCAACATCATAACTTTCGTCTCAGTAGTCAGCTTCATAATAACCAATGAGTTAATGTAACTTAACCCATCAAATACACTTTCAAATGAGTTCATACGGATTTCTAGTTGATCCCTAGACTATATATTATTTTGCTTACCCACTTCGGTTTCGCAAAAGATTTATCCAAAAGACATTAATTTATTTCTTATTACTAGATATTTGCCACACGGCACCAGAGTTAATAATTCGAGTTCAATAACGAACAGCAATTAGAATATGACAGTTAAGTAATAATAATGGGATGGGCAGTTCAGTTAGCAAAAGTATAACCACAAAGAATTCTACCATTTTTTTATGAAGAAAATAAAAGAGTCACAGCAGGATCGCTACTGGCTTCTATTCTGAGCCATTTCTGATAACATTTCTAGTCACTGTTACACCATCTCTGAGATCCTAACCAGAGAGTCATGAATGACCAACAGAAGTCAGTCCCACACAACTCTCTTTCATACTACTACTCCATGTCGTCTACCGACCACCTCCGCTTTTTGCCACCAGTCCCAGAGTCGACAAATAATGCACGGCGAGGGATCCTCCGGGACAATATTCGTAGAACATGTCCAAGCTACCGAAGCCGATGTCTCAAGATGGTGACACCAATTGAATGATCGTCTCTGTGCCTGAACACACGATGCCGAACCTCTGCATTACTAACATGATGTTGCCATTGGATGGCAGCAATCCTTGGGAGACAGTGATGATCGAACACAGAGAGTCGTCTAACATCCTCAACTCGAGGAGGCCAGGTTTCACAAGCATAGAGCAAAACTGATCTCACCGACGCGTTGTAGATCCGACCTTTTACAGCCAGACTGACATCACGAAGGCGTCAAAGATGGTCCAGATTGGCTTAAGCTGCCCTGGCTTTCATTATACGTGAATCGATCTCATCTCTCACGCTACCACCAGCACTTATGCAGCTACCCAGGTGGTCGTATGCCTTCACTCTTCCTGAGGTGTTTGTATATGAGGCTTTTAAGATGTTAATATACTTCTCAGGCACACCCTTCTTCAACAGACAATCCCGTAGAACAGTCCTGTCTAACAAATTGATGGTGGCCTTGATGTCAAGAGACACTAGGACTGTTGGCTTGTAATAAGTATGACGGTGCTCTGATATTTGATGGTGGGTGAAAAGATGATCAAAACAGCCTCGATAAGAACGAAAACCAACCTGCTCTTTGCGAGTCGATCTTTTCTGTTTTAAACAATCTGCGAAGTATGACGGAAGCCAATAGTTTGGACACAATCGGAAGTAGACTTATCCCCCAATAGTTGTTGCATAGATTACGTGAACTCCTATTAAAGATAAAGACGACTATCGACTCATTCCACGATATTGGAACACCTTGTAACTACTAGAAATTTTTAAACAACTCAGTCAGTTACTTAATTAGACGGTCGTCACCAGATCAGTCGAGCTGCCTCTCAAAAAAATCTGCCCATCGTCCAAGATGTCAGTAGATGTTGGTGATTGACACTCTGTCATCTTTACAGATTGTTTAACTCACACCAGACGTCTTGCTGGCAGTGACTTGGATGAGTTGAAAGACCTTCCGGTAGTTACCAGATGCAGCTGCTGCTTCCAACCCATTGGCACGCTCCGACCACCAGGTTTCTCGGTTCTTATGCAAGCTATGCACATCTTCATTGCGTGACAATCTTCGTTTGTGGCCAAACTCGAGGTCACCCAGAGTAGACTGATGTGCTTCAATGGGTTGTAAGGACCCTGTAGAAACCTTATGCTTATGAACTGGACGTTTCACGAAGCTGCAAGTGACTTTACTCTCAATTTTCATGGTGTCGTGCAATTGCAACTAATGCTCATTTATACTTTCCGGTGGGATGTTAGCTAGCCTTGAACCTAGCTCGGTTTGATATTTAGTTGCAACAAAAGTTGTAACCAATTTGCTGACATCGATTCGTTTAGGACAATTGATTTGTTGGCCAGAGCCACACCAAAGGTAGGTGATCGTGATGTGATCAGAGTCCAGGCTTGAGATGTAGAGCGAGGGCGCCATGTGGCACATCGGCGATGACTGTGCCGGTAGTTAGTGTTAGCTAGAAACAGGTTGTGATCTGCGCAGAGTTGCAGTAGACGGTCCCTGTTATCTAACCTGTGACCAACAAGTTTCCATCGGCCACCTAAACGACTCTCTTTTGTGTCTAGACACCAGACTTGTACATTCAAGTCTCCGTCTAGCACTACAATATTTGTCGAAGGAGCTTTCCGGAGATCATTTAACTGGTGTTAAAGTTCACCCTTGATTGCATTCCGGTTGTAATCTGTCGTGGGATAGGCAGAGACTAAGGAAAAACATCTTTTCTTACACCGAATTCTTCTTACTTTGATGGAGCTTTCTAATCTAACAACACATAACCGACTGTTAATGGGGATCCAATGTATTAGTTCTGCCTCAGCTCTAGTGCTTAGTGCGACACCAACGTCCGCATAACCAGACAAAGATGCCACAGGGTCCCCGGATAAACGCACGTAAAACAGGCTTTTCGAAGCGATAAATGGAGAGCTAATTTGTAGTACTTCACTAGTGTTGAATAAAAGTCCTGGATAGACAACAGACATAAATGTTGGGACTTTCTAAAGACACAGTCAACCCTATCTGTTGTCCGATTCGCATTAGTGTGCAAACGTTGAAAAAGGCCATTTTGAATGGTATTTATTCGATTTAAGAAACATTGGGTCAGTATTTGTAGTTGATGGTAGGATTCAACTTTCGACCAGTCAGTGACTCGAGATCATTTAGATAGAACAGAGTTTCCACCATAGGCAAGCTTTTGTATGAGTTGAAAAATCGCGATACATAAAGTGGGAATAAAAGAGAGTTGATAAGTGTCGTAGTATATAAAAAATAAAAATGAATGTGAACTGTCTGAATTTTAATTGAGGCGAGAGTAGTATTTTCAGTAATTATCGTCATTTCATTTTATTTGTGTGTGGGCTGTGATACTGCCCGAGTGGCCAGATCGAAACAGGTGGTTTTCTTAGGAGGCCACACGCGGAGTCTCTGACCACAAGGCAGTGGAGCAACGTCAGGAGATACAGTCACATGGCAGCTGGTGTCCAACGTTTGGTTCATTTGCAATTTGTTCCCTCAGGATCCTGGAGCCCATGTGCACCATTGGTTTAGAATCAGGGTTTTTCATCTCTACCGAGTGGATCTTCCGTACCAACCAATCCGGTTGAAGCGCCGGATGTTCTCTTTTTGTCCTCTCAGTCGTAAACTACACCCCCGCCGCGAGAAGTTAGTGAGTAGGAATTCCCTTATAATGTTGGCGTACCCGTCACCATGTGAGTGTAT